AGTGTAGCCCAACAGAAGTTTACCGACGTTTCAGAATTTGTAACTGCCTACATAATATCGCCGTGACGATGGAGACAGAAAGCAACTCGTCGGTAAACTTCCACCTGATACACGGCGCCACATACCAGAAGACAGCCAGCTACGTAATGACGCCATGTTCACCGAAGTTATTTCGACAAGTCGCCACACAGGGTCTCTGTGTGTCGGTAGTCATGTGACCAAAAGTTAGTTTGGAAACTTGCGTAGTGCGATACGTGTGATTATGCGTGTGTTTTCATAGTTAATATCTTAGCGATGTGAAGATGTAAGTTATATTAGTTACTACTTAGTATTTGTATTATTACACAAGAACAAGGACTGATAATGTGGCAGCCAGTTACATGTTTCTCTGACGAATTAGCAAGTATGGTTGTTGAGTTTGTAGTTCCTGCTTGCAGTCTGCCATAACGCTTGTGTGAGAATGACGTCAAGCAGGTCGAGACGAACAGTCTAGAACAAATGTTTTGTAACTGCATTCAAGCACTGCAATTGTTTCACTTTGTTTAACATTACGTAAGTTACATTTTGGTTATCATACTTATTATTAGAATTATTTCACCGGACCAGTCGTATATACGGGTGTCCCAAAAAGGTATACACACATTCAAATAATGAAATCAAGATATTTAATAAATTAAATCATTAAATGCGTCAGCATTGTAACTTAGTGAATTATCGAATTTAGTGTAGGAGCTCAAAATGACCACCAAAAACGTCGTTGCACGGTTGAAAACGGCGAGCAACTGATTGGCAAGCGGCCACTTGTGCATATATTTTTCTGTGACACTGTGAATTTTTATATAGGGCAGTAAAATGGGAACAGTCATCCGGGGTTGACTGACGAAAATGTGAATTTTTGTCTGTCCGCCTGTCTGTTGATCAGCAAGTATAATCTTTGAACCAAATGTAGATTTCGACGAAATTTGACCAACAAATTTAATTTTAATTCACATCGGTGGAACCGTAAATTACATGAGTTCCATTAGAATGCTAGCTGTTTTCAAAGGTCACCCATCGTGTAAATATTTTGCAGTCAATGTGAACATAAAATGTGGAACTTACGTATTTTCGTCGAACTGTCTTCTGGGTTGTTACTCCGTGTAGTCTGGTAGACGTTTACCGACGTTTCAGAGGTGCTTGCTGCCTCCATCATCATCTCGATCGGCGTTGTTTCCTCGAAGTTTATTTAAACTTTTAAAGTCGAAGCTTGTCTGAATAATATTTAAGATTTCAGTCCGTACCGCAAAGAAAACACAGGACATCACCATTACAGAGATCAGCTGGTTAATCATGTTTGAGGGAATAATATTTGTTCACTCTGAGAATCATACGAAAACCAAAAATACTTCATACTGGGGATACATTTTCTTCCGTTTTTAACTGATTTTATCCTTATGCGTCATAATTGACTTACAAGGGACACTCTTGCAGAAAGTTACAACATGCCTCTTTTTAAACAATTTTCCTACCTACGGACTGGGATCGGTAAATGGTCAGTGAAATTATACAGATTCATTTCTCTCATTCCGTGAATTGACTGTATTGTTTCTCGTTTCATATATATATATATATATATATCAATGAAATATAAACCAGAGCTTTTGAGCATTGTGATAGATAGACCACGTAAAACTGTCAATTGCATGGGCATAAGTAATACGCGATAATATTTCTTTCGCCTTCCCCCCCACCATCCGACATTCGAGGGGAAGAGAGGAAGTCTACAGTGACTTGGTCGATGGCCTGTGTTACGCTAAGACAAAGAATAAAGATCATAATGGGTTTGTCTTTTATTCCTCCTACTTCCCCAACTCCTTACATGTCTTTCGTTTGCGAAAGAGATACAAAGATTTGGTTTCAGATTGTTCTAGAATTGGAGAAGGAAAATAAGAGAAATAGTTTCACAAGAATTCTTTCGTGCGTGCTTAGAGAAAATGTGTAATTGAAATTTGTTCCCTGATGAAGACTGCAGCACGTACAATTTAATTGTTGTTGTGTTCATTTTTCTTGTGGCTTTCATGTACTTTTATTTCAAAATACCCTTATCGGTAGTAATAATAACGCATTTCGTTACTTGCAAAATCCCTTTCTGTGTCGTACGTGCAGTTGTCCTTGAGAGACAGGCAAAGCTGTCACAGAACTTTGTATTATATAGACCAACGCTGATTCTTGTGAGAATTCTATTATCTTTGACGTGAACAAAGTGGCGTTGAGACAGGTGTTCCTCCAACTACATACATCGAATTTACCCGAACAAATGTGATTCTTCTAGAGCTCTGTTATCGTGGGATTGAAGTACGTCTATACGATAGGCCAGACCATCTGGCGAATTAGCACGACACCGGTCTTCATTTAGGGCTACACCCACGACCGAAAACTTGGTCGTACTAAAAGAAACGATAAATAAATCTATTGAGTAGAATTCATGAGAAACTGATAATACGAGACACTCTTCAAGAACTTTTAACAGTTTCATGGAACCCAAAGTTTTATATCATTCCTATTGTGAGCCAGAGTAAAACAATTTACAATATGTAACGCGTATTTTAGGATCTATTTTAATATTATCCTTATATACGCCAAGTGTTCTGGGTGGTCTTTTACCTTCACATTTCCCGATCAAAATTTTGTATAATTTGTTATTTTAAAAGAATGCGACCAAGTTGGAGGCCTCTTGTTACATTTTGTATGATCCTTTTTTTTTACTTTGGGGAGTTGTTACCCTTATAACTCCCAAGGTGGATAATTACCCATTGTCGGACATCCACGACTGATTACTCTGTAGTATATTGACATCTACCTGTCGTATCTGTAGGCCGTCTCTTCCATTCGCAACCTGAGGAGGACATACCGTGGAATGTTGACAAGGGTCCGACCAACTTAACGCGGAAGTAATGAAGGCATTTTAGCTAACCCTCTTTGGTTTACGTAAACTGTAAAATGCGTAAACGACTTGGGAATGGTGCGTTGTTCACTGACACGTCTAAACTGTAAAATGCGTAAACGACTTGGAAATGGTGCGTTGTTTACTGATACGTTCTGGATTCGTTCTTATCATGCACTTAAATCATATTGTAAGGGCATTTCAATCTGCTTTCTGGTTGAGCGGGGCGTGGTACTGCATCACTGACTTTCCCGATGCGAATGGATGGTGAGTCATGAGGGGAAGAGGGTTCTTAAGATGGGAGTATATATGAGTACATAGCTAGTACGAAAATACATATACATAAAACTGCTTTTATCCTGAGACTTCGATTAAGACATTATTGGTTTCTCTAAAGAAAGGACGTGACTTACAAATATTTAGAAACAAAATGTTAAACAATATTTAGTAGTAAGGAAGGTTAAATAATTAGATAATTAATATATTACACGAAGATGACTGTCTTCTGGCGTGCTGCGTAGCGTGGTCTAATATAAATTAGCTAACGTTTCGGAGGTAATTATAGATTCCATCATCAGGGCGAACTAAAATGGAGCAGATAGTAAACACACATGAAACATTAGCAAATTTATACCACATGGTGCATCATCCCACAAGACAGTCATCATGAAACATGTCTACCTTTCTTCAATTAAGACTAGTATTTTGTTAATTACGTTGTGTTAAATAAAATATAGTGTAAAATTATTTTATGTATATGTCATTAAAAATGGATGCTTATTGACTGGCGAAGGTAATTTTGGTCTTTAAGTTAAAAGGAACAGAGAGAAGGCTCCACGTATGTTAAAGTATAATATTATTTTGTAGTTATTAATAAAATTATTCTCTTCCTTCGCAGGAGTTTATGTGCTGTGCTGAGTCTTACAACCGAAACATAATTCCATTATGAATGGTGAAATTTAAAGCGAAATCGCACAAATTATTTTACCGCGTATAATTTATCGTTGATTATAATGCAAAATTTAATAATCCACAATGAACATTTGAATTGGTCCGTATTTTGGAAGTGTAGGGATTTTACGTTCATCGCTTGCTTTTTTTAAAAAAATTGTGGCATAATTTTTTGATGTGAATTTCGTTATTCTGTATTTGCACAGAACATTCATGAAACACTTTTCAAAATATCTGGCGTGTACTTAATACGAACTAAGCATGATTTATCTATTTTATCAGCGACTTTTAAACTTCTGTTTATGTAAAAAAAATGTTTTGGAAGTAATTTTCAGTGTTACATACCATTATGCTGCAAGAAAATCTCTTCAGCTGCTTTTGTATGATCGCATTCTTACATTAGTGTCTATAATAAATTCATTAGTTTAGAATTCGCATAAAATCACAGTTAAAAGTGTCTACGACCCGTTGGACTCATCGTCATTCAACCGAGGTTGGACACAGATCACAGAATCTACAGCTGCAGAGATGCTCACACTGTAAGTTTAAACACATATAATATTTATTTAATTGTTTGCAGATTGAAGTTATATTTGCTTTTTATTTTAATTAATCAAGCTTTTAAAACATAGAATTCGTCTTGAAGGTTATGGATTAATTGTGAAATTTCATATTTCCACGATTTTGTCATGGGTTGAGTCACTTCAACCCTGAAGATGGAAACGATATGTTTATCCGAATGGTTGGTATTCACCTACACCGCCCCATAACCCAGAACAACAACAACGCTGTGAGTTTTTGTTCGTGTAGCCAACGATAAGCAGAATGAATGTATATCCTCTGTTTTGTTAAGTGTATGATGCCCCCCCAAAATATTCGCACACATTAAATGCATGACATACGTCAGCATTGACACTTAATGAATCAACAAATCTAGTTTAGGTGTTCAAACTGACTACCGTTAGCTTCATGTCACAGTTAACATCACTAGCAGCTGACTGACAAACTACCAGCAAAATTGCTGCTGTGTATACATCTTTTTGGGACATTCTGTACATACATATCCAATGTACGTTTAAGCTCTAGGACATAATTTGTGGGTTATTTAGTTTTTTCTACTACTATCAATTATTGAGTGAGTACAAAGAGATATGTCAACAAGTTTTAGTTTTTCGTTTGTTTGAATATATATTTTTATCAATATTTTCGTTTCCCGTAAATTTATTTTTGTCTCTGCAATTTCATTTTTCGTATGGTTTATTTTTTATTCATTCTTGGAAAGTCTGGTAAAATTTGTCATAGTTAGAAAATTACATAATGATATACAGACCATAACGTTGTAAAGTATTCACTTCTTGACCTAAATAAATTCGATAAATTTTATAGAGGCAAAGAAAATACAATTAGGAATGTAATTTTGATGTGGAATAAAATTACAGGCTATTACACGGGAATATGTGTAGTAAGTTTAGTCTTTTAAGGAAAGGCGGAAAATTTACGAAATTTGGTTCCCTGGTTACACGTTTTAAAATAACCGCTACTGTCGTGGGAAATTTGAATGTTCCGAAATATTATACTGCGTGGATGTTAATACGTATAACTGCTGCCACCGTTATTATAAATGCTGCCATTAAACTCTTAGTAAAATTTCGCAATAAGATATTCACATATAAAGTTAAATTTATTTGAGTTATATTAATTATATTTTGAAAAGCATCACGTCTTAATTATCAATTTTTCCAAAATATACAGTTTCGTGCTTTAATAGGCCAATCGCCGTATGGAATTTTACTGATGTTCTCATAAGTTTGCACAATCATTATCTGCGTGCACAAATTGGGAATCTATCAATATTATGATATCCATATAACATTTTATGAAAATCAGCAAATTCCAGTTAGGAATATTAATAGGCTTATTTGTATTTGATCAACAGATGTATAAACGTATCGAAAATAGTCATTTCCCTAAAATGGTTCTATTTATTAAAATTACCTACATTTTTAATAGCATTCTTAACAATTTTAATGACGAAATTTGATCCAAAAATTAAGCCCGAGCATTAAAAAACACCTCATAAAAATAAATTACTGTAGTAAATATATTTTGTTTGCCATCGAAACATATGAATGTACTCTGTAATTATGATGTTGACTTATTAAACTTTAATGTGGATTTTACACGTAATTACCGTTGTGCACGAAACAGTAAAACATTCTGGAATGTCGTCCGATTTTATATAAATGTACGTAAAAGTAAGCTTACTTAAACTGCTATAACACTTTAACATGGAGGACGATAAATCTGGCAGCACTACATGTTGTTAGGAAAATTAAGGACCTCCTTCGCTTCTACACGGAGGCCCTCTGAAATCCAGTTTCAGCTTCATGAGCGCTGTCTCACATCTCAGAGGAGTCCGCCACACACGGTCCTTTTTTCCGCAGGTATATTATTCGTTGTGAGGTTTATCTGCAGCAGAATCAAGGACCTTATATTACTTTACGGAGTGGATATAAGAAGTAGACAAAATGGAAACTTTATAAAGTGATGGCAGTTAAACTTTGAAAAGAAAGAAGGAAAGTATTAGTAAAACTCAAGCAACGGAAATGAAATTTTTAATTTTTAAGAAATGTAATAGATAAGACAAAATTAAAAACTAAGATATGCGAAAGAAGATAAACATTTATTCAGAAAACGGAAGTATAGATAATTACAGAAGAAAATTATTAGAGTACTTGAACAGAATCAATGAAAGACTTAAAAAAGACTTGTACCTACTGATGCAGCGAGAAAGATTTAAAAATGTCTATGAAATCTGAACAGGTTTTATTGCAACATAAGAAGTGCAAAGAAATAAGCAGGCGTAAAGCTTCTTACTGAGCAGTTTGCTATAGTCATGGTGTTGTAGGCATGTAATAAAATCTGTACACAAAATTATAAATAATATGCCAATAAAAATTATAATTTATTATCTTAATATAATGACAATATGACGAATTTTGTCAAATGAATTGTAATGTAGCTGGTCCATAATTAGCTGTTTTTTCTGAGATTATAATTTTCCTCAGGTTCTCTAGCCGAATACGGCATCTTCTTACGTTCTAAATAATATCTCATATTTAAGTTAATATTCTTCAATCATTTTGTCTTACATTAATTTTATCTGTTATATTAAATAGTTTCATAATTCCATTAGCTTGCCCCCCATTGAAGTGATGTCTCGCGGAAATGTTCTAACACGTAGCGCGGATAATTTTTAAAAAAATGCAACTTTTTTCCTTATAAAATGTTAGTAGGTATTAGAGTTTTTATATGGCGGAATAATAATAAAGTTACAAATAGTATAATAATTTTCAACGTCTTATGTTTTAACTGGTATAGAATTCAATACCTCCACCAGGAAAACGAGCAGGAGGGTAGTTGCTTAAACAAATAGTTTACTAAATCTTGGGCCGCAGCGTTTGATGAAGTATCTAATGGTCTGTGCTTCCCTAAACAAACCACCCCAGTTATATTGAATGCCAAGAAAAACACTCTGTTATACCCCGAAGATGGCCGACAGTACCTGGAGACGTATGACTTGTGTCAACATAAGAATGGCGTTGTGGCTGGGAGATGGGTTGTTACTATGGTAACCTGCCATTAGAGTCGAAACGTAGTCAGAAATTACAAAACAGGAGTTTGAGTGGGCTTCTTGCAGTGTTATGTCTGTCACGTGAATTATTTAATGCGTATTAAAATTAGTAAGTTAATATAAGTTTCAAAAATTGATTGAGGAAATAGGTGTTGAAATATGAAGCTGTGTAATTTTTAGAACGTTATAACAATGCGAACTGATATTTTTCTATTAAAATGATCGACTTAGATATAAATCAGTAGAAATTTGAACTAATTAATAATACATTCCCTTTTCTTTAAAATTCAATATTCGATAATTAACCTAACATTCGAACGGTCAGAGAAAGAAATTTGAGATGTTCAAATATGCGATGGATGGAAGAGTTTTAAAACTTTCGTGCATGTGTTCTGTAAATTTTAAACTGCGATAACATTTAAATGTTTTTGTAATTGTATTTCATCGTTACAGGCCTGTATGTTTTACCGACATTTTTATATTATTGTAGTGTTAGTATAGTTTATATTAGTTTTGTTGATTATAGCAAACCCTTTGTTTTCCCACAAACTAAAACTCGGAAGATCACAGGACATAAAATTATCGACTAAGAAATATCACACAATGTTTCAGTTAAAATGGGCTGAACTGTGGAAATTGATTCCCGCGCGTCTCTTAACACACGTTTGGCACCCTGCCCTTCCCCCCAACCTCCGTCATCCAGCTGTATGTAGCTGAAATTAAATCACATTTTATCACTCTAACTAGGCTAAAGTGTATGTGCGTTACATCGGGTGCATTTGGTTTATAGTTTGAAGCTCTGTAAAGTCTCTTGATTTACATAGTAATTTCATTTACTGGGACTGTCACCGATTTTCTGCCGTGCTGTTAGAATCTCCAATTATAATTCCTAGCAGGCCGCCCTTACAGACACTAAATACTTTACTATAAAACCGAAAATTGATTGATCAATTTACCGTACATTCCTGCCATTTTATTTTTAAAGTAACTAATAAGTACAGCGTAGGACTTACATTTTAAAATAGTAGGCAAGGCTGCAGTACTCGACAGTTATGCGGGTTGCTTTTTCAAGGGATTTAGGGAGAAATTTTGTGAGATATGTCTGATTTATGTAAGGATTTCTGTTGGTTAGTGCCCGTTGTCCGTAGTCTGTTGTGTGCACGCTGTTTTGGGAGTGTGTTTGTGTCTACGTTTTGTAATAAAAGAAGGGAGAATAAATATTTGTTCAGATTCATACCAGATTCACGTGAAAACTAAACAAGCTACAACTTACGTTCTCTGATTGTAAGTGTCCTCAAATAATTAAATAAATTATACTGTTTTTATCAGGTGTTTTGTTTAAAGCCCTTAATGTACCTTCACGAAATTAAATACCTTACAATTGTCACTGTGATTATTGCTATTTTTATTAGATATTCGTCACTGATTATAACATAATTTGAAACTTTAATATTTATATTCTCCTCACTATTAATTTTGGTTTCTTTTGTTATCGGCCCTCTAAAATTTGACATAGGGTCGGGTCCCAGAGCGTCTAGTTATGGCTTTAAATTGAGAAGCCCTGGTCGCTGAGAACATAAGATTGATTTGAAGGCAATGTTAGCCATCTTCGGTAACGTTTTGGACATAATCTCTACACAATGAAAAATTCTAAACCTACTCGAAGTATCAGAGTATGTCTTGAGATGATAACACTCATTAAGCTACAAAGACATTTCGTGAACTTTAACTCTAAGGCTCATTACAGTGAAAAGTCCGTAAAATTATGCGTGAAAAAAAGCTCTTGACAGTTTACGTTAAAAATTTTCAGATACTTTCAGCTTAATTCATAGGCTACATTAAAACCAGTAATAAATAAGTTTTGTCGTGAATGGTTCTGTATGGGAATGATTAAGTTCTGTTAAT